GCGTTCATGTACTCTGATATTTTCTATTCTATTCCATTTATTTTTTTTCAAAATGTTTATTGTTGCTGTTGTTTAGTGCCGTCGAGTTGGTTCCAACCCATAGCAACCCTGTATAGGGTTTCCAAGGAGCAGCTAGTGAGCTTGAACTGCTGACATTGCAGTTCAAATGACTTTCCAGTCCGGTGCATTAACCCACAGCAACACAATGTTTTTGCTGTTAAGTGCTGTTGACTTGGTTCCAACCCATAGCGACCCTGTATAAGGTTTCCGAGAAGTAGCTGGTGACCTTGACCTTACAGTTCAAATGGCTTTGCAGTCTGGCGCATTAGCCCACAATGTCATACCAGGGCTCCACAGCAACATAATACAACCATTAAATTCATTTTATGACCCATGGGTTGTGACTCAGTTTGAAAAACACTGATCTAGTCTGACTCCATTTTAAAGATGGAGAAATTGAGGCCTAAATTTATGAGTTTCTCCACCTCAGCACCATTGGCATCAGGGGCTAGATAATTCTTTGTTGTGGCAGCTGTCCTGGTCATTGTAGATGCTTAACAGATCTACCCATTAGAAACTCATAACAAACCATGATCACCACCCCACCACCCGCTTGCAATTGTGACCTCCCATAATTTTACTGTCTTCAGACATTGTCAAATGTCCCCTGGGCAAGGGGTGTTGGGGAATCACCACTGATTTACACTTATTGGTTTACACCCATAAGCAAATTTTTTAACTCTAAATACAAAGTTACCTCACAGAGCATTTGAATGCTCTAGATTTGTTAACTATGTATGCAGTAAACCCTAAAGTAGCATTGTATCTTGTTTTCTTTGTTCCCTCTGGAAGAGGGAAGGGGTGGAGGACGGAGGACATGTGATGATTGTAGTAGACAAATTGTTTTATTCATGGTGACCTGTGCAATTCAGATAATCTGTTTTAAGTTGGGAAGTCCTGGTATGGCACTATAGGATCAGCAATGGACTGCTAACCACAAGGTCCACAGTTCAAACCCACCAGTTGCTCCTTAGAAGCCCTATACAGGTTCGTTATGAGTTTGAATAAACTCTATGGCACTTAACAACAACTCTTCTGTGGGAGGTAGCACATGGCTCTGTTGGAGCCATTAGGAAGATGAGTCATTAGAAAGTGTCATTGGGCCCAGGAGGGACTTCCACACTGACCTCTATATTAGTACTTCCAATCATTCTAGGGCTGAGTGACCATCCAGAGAGTCCAGAGTGCCCAAGCAAAGCTTTCCCTAAGACTCCGGTTTAGCCTCTTGAAGTCACTGACTGAGGCCCAAACTGAGGCATCCGATGGCCCCTCAAAAACTGGCCAGCAGTTGGAATCAGTCAGATCTGGGTGCTTTCTTGAACTTTAGCACCATTGTTGCTGTTGTTGTTGAGTGCCATTAAATCTGTTCTGACCCATAGTGACCCAGTATAGGGTTTCTGAGAAGCAACTGGTAAACTTGTACAGCTGACTTTGTGGCTCAAACTGACTTTGCAATCCAACATATTAACCCACAGCACCATACCAGGACTCCATTAGCACCATGGCACTCATTAATCTGCATGTCTGAAAAACTCCTCACCCTGACACAGGAAATCCTCCATCCAAACTCTGAGAAATATTGACATCCATATTTTACTAATGTGGAAAGGAGGGCTAGCTGGGGAAGTGACTTAGCAGGTTGGTTGTTTGTTAAGTGCTGTCAAGTTGGTTCCGATCCATAGCGACCCTGTACAGGGTTTCCGAGGGTGTAAATCTTTACAGGAGTAGAAAGCCTCATCTTTCTCCCATGGAGCGGCTGGTAGTTTCGAACTGCTGACCGTAAGGTTCGCAGCCCGATTCGTAACCACTACACTACCAGAGCTCCTTTAGCAGGTTGATAGTTAGTTCTAATTTCTAGGTTGGTCTGCAGCTCTGGCTTAGGAAGACTAGAGTCTACAAAGCAGGTGGAACCAGAACCCTTGTCCTCTTTTTCAGGTTGGTGCTGACTGGCCAGGAGCCTATAGCTTTGGTGTCAGCCCCTGAAGCCCAGTTGACCAGGAGCCAGGATCAAGGAAAGGGCCTTCCCCTTCGCACCAGATGGTTCTTCTGCAGAGACATAAACACTTTACCACGGAAATGAACTAGGTCCACTGGCCCTCAGAGAGGAATGTGAATTTGCAATTCAAACTTTAGGAAACAGGATGTTGTAGGAGAACAATGGATCAGAAGGTATGCAGGGAGACAGTCAGGGGGTGGCCTGGAAACTGAAACTGGAGGAACCTCCCCCCACTTCACCATCAGCAACCACCAAAACCAGCCCAATCTTCCCAGATCCAGCCTCCCCATACTGTTCCTCTCCTCCTAACATCCATCTCACACACAAACACCCACCACCACCACCACATAAAGAAGCCCCACTCCTCTCTGAGGGTTGTTGGTGTTTAGTGCCCTTGAGTCAGTTCCACTCATATCTACCCTGTGTAGGGTTTCCAAGAAGCAGCTTGTGGGTTTGAACTGCCAGCCTTGTGGTTAACAATCCAGTGCTTACCCTACAGTGCCATACCAGAACTTTCTGATGGTAGTAGTGAACAGGAAAAGGTAAAAACATTCACTGCCCTCTCTGACCAGGAGACAAGCTAGAATGTTAATCAGGTTACTGAATGGAACCAACCCTCTGACTTCCCTCCTGTCCTCAAACAGGTCCTCAACCTAGCCCCTCCCCAACTCTGACCCTATATAAGTCCGTGTTAACATGCATTCCAGTGCTCTGAATCTGGAGAAGCTAACTCCTCTGAGCCAGCTGGCTTAATAAAATCTGAAACTCTGCTTCACCTTTCTGAGTGGCCTGGGTTTCTTCAATGATGGATCAAGAGCTGCTGTGACACTCTTGGGCCCCGGGCTGCTGTGACACTCTTGAATTTAAAACTGCTGTAACAGTAGCACTATTTCTGGTGAAAATCAAACCAATCTACAATACAGTGTGACTGACCTATAGCCAGTTTAGGTCAATATTGCTAGAAAACTGACACTCAATGAGAGCAAGTTGTTACAAGAAAAGAATAACTACCCAGTGAGTAATCTCACTGAGATATGTTGAGACAGAGCATTCTTCCACAGTGCTTCAAGTTCCAACTGAAACCTAGATGAGGTTGTACTTCCGGCGTAAACCTTTGTGAATGTGATAGGGAAAAGATGTGGATAATTGACATGACCTGGATGGAAATACACAAAGGGCACAGCAACATCTGGTCTCCATTCAGGTTCACATCTAACAAGTGAACATCCAAATGGTAAATTGACTGCTTTAATGACTTTGTTGCTGGTAAGTGTCTTTGAGTCTGTTTCAACTCATAGCCTTCTTGTATAGGGTTTCCGAGGACTGGCTGGTGAGCTTGAATCACCGACCTTGCAGTTCAAACCGACTTTGCAGTCCAATGCATTAACCCACAGTGCTACACCAGGACTAATATTTGGGTAATACTTCACATCATCAAATAATTTATCTTATTTGATCTTCACAGCATCTCCCTTTTAGAGATGAACAATGAAGGCTAAGAGACTTTGAGCAGCTTCTGTAAAGACTCAAGGAAGTGGAAGAATAGAAATGAGAATACAAATGTTCTGACCCCAACTAAGGCTCTTTCCATGCTTCTGTTTCCTGCAACCAGGTCCCAACCAATTACCATCAAGTTGACAGAATTGGGTCATCCAATATCCACTCACCTTTTGGGTAAAACCACTAACTACTGCCATCCAGCCAATTTCAACTCACAATGACCCTGTGGGTTTCTGAGACTGTAAATCTTTATGGGAGCAGAAAGCTACATCTTTGGCCAGTGGGTTTGAACCAATGACCTTGCCATTAGCAGCCCAATGCCTACCAGTGTCATTAGGGCCTGTTGTTATTACTAAGTGTTATCAAGTTGGGTCCGACTCATGTATAGGGTTTCCAAGGAGCGGCTGGTGAGTTTGAACAGCTGACCTTGTGGTCCGAACCAACCTTGTGGTCCAGTGCTTTATCCCACAGCATCACACCAGGACTCCATGTGTCCATTAGGGCAGAGGAAGAGCTAAAAATAATTTTAAATTCTGTTGCTATGGAATCAATTCAAGCACATGCATGACAACCACATTTGTGTCAGAGCCACTGTGCTTAGAGGTTTTCAATTGCTGGTGAAGTACATCACCAGGTCTTTCTTCCAATGGCTTCTGGGTGGAATCACACCACCAACTTTTCAGTTAGCAGCTGAGCAGATCACATTAGATATTTGCTTTACCCAGAGACTCCCAACCTAAGATTATTGTTGTTGTTTTTACTAACTGCCATCGAGTCGGTTCCAACTCACAGCAACCATTATAGTGTTTCCGAGGAGCAGTTGGTGGTTCAAAATCGACTTTATAGTTCAGTGTATTAACCCACAGCACCACGCCAGGACTCCCCCAACATAAGATATTGTTGTTGTTTTTATGTACCATGTAGTCGGTTCCGACTCATAGCGACACTGTACAGGGTTTCCAAGGCTGTAAATCTTTACGGGAGCAGAAAGTCTCATCTTTTTCCTGCCAAACAGCTGGTGGTTTCAAACTGCTGACTCTGAGGTTAGCAGCCCAATTTGTAACCACTATGCTACCAGAGCTCCTTCAATATAAGATAGATCCTCTGAATTGCAAAAGCCACCAAGAAAACAACAAATCGTCTCATCTTCAAAGTGCTTTATGAGTCACAATGCATCTTTTAGTTCATTTTTCCCACTGATTCGTCAGAGCTCCCAGAGCATTGTCTAGACCAACAGCAACGGACACACACCCACTAGAGAAGCATGGGCACACATCCTATTGCACCAGGCTAACAGGCCAGACCTGAAAGGCAGTTCCCCAGCATGTTGTCAGCAGAGATATGTGATCGATCGTAGACACTACCATGGAAATAGGCATTCTCCTCACCTCCCTACCTCCCTTGCACACACGAGGGCTAAGCTCCTTTAGTTCCCTGGACTCACCCAGAATCAAGAAGGAATGCTTCTGGCAGTCCCCAGCCAGGAGGTAACTGCAGTCTCCCGCAAAGCTGTACATGCTTTCGTCAAAGGTATTGATGAAGTCTTGTCCAAAGAGGCTGCATCGAGCTGGGAACAGTCCACCACCAATCCCATCTGTGCAAAGGGTGCCTGAAGGGAGAGACCCAGCTGAGCACAAATTACTCTGGCCTTGTAGAAATGATGCTGACTGAGACTAATAGAAATTGGGTTTCAAGGATTTACATTCCTTTTGAAATGAGACTAAAGCTGTTTCTTTCAACCCCCAAATATAACGGGGTACTTAGATTAATAATGGAGGAATGTTTTTCCCTCCATCTACTAACAATGCATGCCCTTTATAAAAAATGTGAAAAATTCCCCGGGTGGGGTGGGGGGAAGAACCCCACAAAAAAAGGCATTAAAATGATCTATCACCTATTATTCAGAGATAACTAGAGTTGATATTTTAGTGTTTATCTTTCAATTCTGTTTCACAGCATATATAAGAGTGTTTTAAAAAATTCATGAAAAAAATTAATTATCTTTTCAGTCCACGAACTTTGTTTATGAAGCTCCCTCGTGTGTAATTGTAGATTTTTTACAAACTTGGAATTATACGGTATAAACTTTATAATCCCCTTTCTTTCCCCTCTATATACTGTAAAGATTTTATCACTCCATTCTCTATACTTCTAAAACGTAAGTATAATGGCTATGTTATATGAGGGGGTTTCAGAAAGTTCATGGAAAATGAAATTAAAAGATGCTGGAATTTCCCCCTGAACTTTATGAAACTTCCGTGCATTTGGTATCTAAATGTTCATAGTATAACTTTCTATTGTTAGGTGTTTAGCTTTTTTTTTCAAAGTTTCTGGTATGTTAGGTAGTTTGCAGTGAGCACCCTTTTACATCAATCCACCTATGTATCTTGAACAGATTAAATTACAAATAGATCAGTTTGTGTGCCTGATACATAGAAGTGTTAACTCCCCTGTGGCCATATGTTAATGCCCATGGGACTCTCCTGCCACTCTCATTCAGTGTGTGTATTGGCAGGTGGAAAACCACAGTAGTCGATCTCTAAGTTGACCTGGTAGAAAGATGCAGAGGGCTGACAAATGTACACTTTGTCCCAGACCAACTTGTGGACGCTGCAAGCTGGATGCTACTGACCTGAAAAATCTTAGTGGAGACAGGCTAGTGTCAAGAAAGTACCCCTCCTGCCCATGATAAACACAAGGGAAGGAATGCATGGAGTTCAGTGGAAAGAGGGTGGCCCTGGGGTACAAGAGGTGATCATTGATCTTGGCATCTCTGACCTTCAGTTTCTTCATCTGTACCAGGATAGTGACAACTACATGGTCTCCATAATCCGTAGTAAGACTAATACTCTATTCAAGCTTTGGACTCCCTTTCCCTGCCCCACTTCTACCCGACCCAGGGCAGACTTTCTTAATTCCCCAGTATGAGGAGAAAGCATATGCAGACACCTGTTTCCTGGTGGATACGAGGCCAGGGACAGGGAACTCCACAGAATGACTAAATCAAGCTGGCAGTAAGTGGCTCTGGCAGGGCCAGTTTGAGTATAACATGGGACTAGGTACACAGGTGATCTCAGACATAGCCCCTGGCCTCTGGAAGGGAGGCTTTTCTGGATGGTATTGGGGAGGAGTTAACAATGGAAATACCTTGGTACCCACCTGGCAAGGCTAAGACCAGTGTAAGCAGCACCGTCAAAAGTCGGGTAAGAATCATCTGCAGAGAAGCAAGAGAAATGAACTGGTCATTACTGTCCAGATAAATGGCTGCTGGCATGTGCTTCTGTCAATGTGGGAAATGGGGAAAACAACCCTTTTAAAAAGGAAGAGGCAGGATTGATTCTCACTGTGCTGCATTTTGCTGTTGGACATGGATTAAGCCAAAACTGCTGGTCTCCCAAAAAAGCTCCTGGCCAAAGGCAAGCACAAGAATAAAACTGGCTGAAAGTAGGGCAGCTGCTCCTTCTCTTCTATTTTCCCCCAGACATCCTGGCCTCTGCCTGCTCCCTAGACTCTTGCAGCAGCTAGGAGCTGATGAGCACTTAATTCCTTCCTGCCTCTTCATGCTCCCTCCATGCTTGCAGCAAGCTCTGGGGAGTGGGAATTGTCCTAACAACAGACACCTAGACTTCCAGAAGGCTCTGGAACCACTGATTTTACAGTATGCTTGTTGGTTACTGGCCTGAACCTTGAGAGCCTGCAGAGAGGTGACTGACTTGCTATCTCTGTCCTAGCACCGAGCACAGTGCCCAGCACCCAAGTGATGCTCCGTAAATGTTTGCTGAGTTGATCTGATAAACAGGCAGGAGTCCAAGACAGTAGTTCAGAGTCTGATTAACTTTCCCCAATGTGTGGCCTTTTCAGAGAGGGGCAATTGTCCCTAGATGATAGCGCACACCCCAAATTTTATGTTTCCTGCCACTGCCCCTCTATTGTAAAGAAGATTGTTAAATTAATTCAGAATCTGTCCCCCAGGCTTCACTGAGGAGACTTTTGTCTACCTAGTTCTCCACACAGCCAAACTAAAGCAAGAAGTGCCCAGTCAACTGTATTACTATAGAAGTTACACTTTGATGATAAGCTCTGACCAAAACTTGGTCTGGTGATCTACTTCCAAAAATCAGCATGGAAACCCTATGGGTGCGAGTACTGCCCTCCTGGCAAAATTCACATGTATGAGATCAAATGGTCAACAATTACCCTGAAGCAAAGGTAAACTAGATGACTAGGAACTGAACAGCCAGAATGGAATTAATGAGAATGTTGACATATTGTAAATATATATGTATATAACCAATATCACTGAATAATTTGTATAGAAATTTTTTTAATGAAAACCTGATTTGCTGTATACTCAAAATATTATTTTTTAAAACCCTATGGACAGACAATGAGAGAAAATGGAATCAAGTGTCCAAATGGTTTATTATTTGTAGGGAATGAACAAGAGAAACATATTTAGCGTAAGTGACAGATTTCTGGACAGACAACATAGCTAGGTGAAGAGTGAAGTTCACAAATTCACCTTTGTTCCAATCCTTGTCTTTTCTTTGTAGATTTATATGTTCTACAGAAGATAATTCACCTTTCTTTGAACCCAGAATTCAGATGGGTTCTGAGAGATAGCTGGCATTTAATAATGCATGTGGATAATGTCTAAGTGAAGGAGAGGGTGAGTGAATGCTTTATTCCCTAAGAGGTGGGAGAAGAAAATATTTTTCTGAGAAAATTTACTTCCAAAAAATGAAAGCTGGAAAATATGGAACTATTACAGTAATGTCTCTGATCTGATCCATACTGTACTCTTGAGTCTTTAGCAAAACAATGAACTTAGAGATCAGAAAGACAAATTGTACTTGAGTTTAGATCATTTTCAATTGAAGAGGATCTTAGATAAAGTAGTATACAGGAGCCTTTTCTAAGCTCCACTTGACGGTGGCTTCATTGATGATTTAAAAAATACAGATTTCAGCTAACTCCAAGAGTCAGGATATCAAGCCAGTAGTTTAGCTGGAAGAAGATTCCACACAGTATCTATCACAGCTAACACTTTAGGTCAACAGATCAGGTGGGGTAAGTTGCAATCGGCATGAGTTTAGTGCTCACTCAGAACTCCTCCCATCAGCTTTTTCAACAAATACTCTTTATCTACACACACACATGCACACACACAAAGCTTGGAACATTTATTTGGTTAAAATAGTAGTGCATTCGTCTTATGTTTTTATTGACCTAAATATAATTTTTAAAGCAATAAAGTTCTCTCTGTAAAAACAAACAAACAAACAAAAAACCCTATGGACACAGTCACATTGGTCAAAACAGCCTGATACTGGTACAGTGAAAGATGTATACATCAATGGAACACACTTGAAATCCATCCGCTTACAGTCAGCAGATCTTTCACAAAGAGCCCAAACATATTAAATGGTACTGGCAAAACTGGAAATCCATTTGCAGAAGAATGAAACAAGACCCTAACCAACTCAATGTGAATTAAACACCTAAATGTAAAATCTAGAACTATAAAGATCATTGATAGAAAACTAGGGACCAATTTAGGGGCTGTAATTCATGGCATAAAAATAAACTGTCAAACATAACTAAAAGCATACAAATAGTAGAAGACAAAATAGATGACTATGACCTCCTAAAAATTAGACTCTTAAATGCATCAAAAGATTTTGCCAAAAGAGAGCCCACAGACTGGGGAAAGATCTTTTTTTTTTTTTTTTTGCAACAGTATATATCAGACAAGGGACTAATCTCTGTAGTTTATAGTAAATTAAAAACCTCTACAAGAAAAAAACCAACAACTCAATTTAAAAATGGGCAGAGGACATGAACAGACATTTCACCAAAGAAGACATCCAGGTAGCCAACGATCATTAGCTGTTAGAGAGATGCAAATCAAAACAACAGTGAGATATTATCTCATTCCAGCATTAATAGCAAAGTTAAAAAAAAAAAAATAAAACAGAAAACAACAAATGCTGGCAAGGGGGTGGATAGACTGGCACGCTCTTCTAATTGCTGGTAGGGCTTTAAAACAAAAAGCACCTATGGAGCAGTTCCACTCTGGCATACATGAGTGTGTCTCCATGGGTCAGAATCAACTCAGCAGCAACTGGTTTGAATTTGTGATTTGGGGTTCAAGCCAAAAACAAAAAGAAAAATGTTCTCCCACCCCCTTGCAAACAAGAACCTCAGTCAGCTCCCAGAAGGTGCAGGTGAAACTCACTGCAGTCCCATCTGAGTCAAGTATTGACAAGCAGTAAAACCTACTGCAGGAACAGAAGTAGTCACAGGACCCCCAGGGTCAACTGAGGAAGAGGATAAAGAGGATCCCTGGCTTTGAGCCCCACAAAGCACTTCTAGTCCCAGAGATAGAGGGACCCAGTTCAATAAGGTAGGGATCCGTCATGCATCTTCCTCCCACACCTGAGCCAACTCTTCTCCCAGAAGACCATACCTTTCTCTGCAATCCAGGGACTGTGTGTGCCCCCAAAGCTCTTGGGAAACAGCTTCACTATGGTGCTCAGCCTGTGCAGGTTCCTAAGTCATGCTCCCCAGCCACTGCTAAGGTTAGGTCAGAACTGCAGCAACTATGGAATGTCTTGCTGTTAAGTAGCCCAGGAACTACTGGAGTCCCTGCAACCAGGGGAGATAAAACTCAAGTTGTGACGTCCACCAATCCAACCCCCCTTTCCCCACCACAATAACTGTGAGCTGCCACAACAGGGAATTGGCCTCCTCTTAATTGCTGAAAGGAAACAATGAAAGGAAACAGTACTAGAAAAACCTCCAAGCCGATAAGGCTTTGAACATTTTAGTGGGAGGCCTCCTGGCTGTCTTAATGAACTGCCATGTGCCCCCATCCATCTCAACACACCCCACCCAGTCCCTGGCCCTCCAAGTCTCCATCTAAAAAGGGCATGACAAGAAATTCTGACCACCCCAGGATGGGCTGGTCTAGGCCAGGATGGAACCCAAGGCAGATTAGCACCACTTCTGGATCCAGATTCCAGGGTTGGACTCTGGGGAAAATTGGAAAAATACCTCAACCTGAGCCAATTTTGATCTGTGTTTGGAGGAAAGCAGACACTGGGCCTTCCTGTCCACACTACGTAGGAATGATCTAGTTCTAGCCTCTGAGAGAAACAGTCAGCTTGGGTCTTGGCCAGGGTTTAATGGGCATGTTAAAAATGAAGGCTCTGGTCACAAGCCCAGGATTTTATCACATGATGGGTTGGGACGGTTTGATTCTAATACCTCTTCTACCGTACTTCTGGTGGGTTGATTTTTCACCTGATTCACACACACACACACACACACACACACATCCCAATCCTTCCCAACCTCCCTTTCCTGAAAGCCTAATTGTCAGCATCATCTGCTAAACTAATCCCTACTGAAAGAGGTAGCTGATAAACAAGCGGGAGAAAGTGATGCATGGTGAGATTGTAGGCACTACAATCTACTTCTCTCACTAAATATTTCTTAGACAGGATTTTAAAAAAGCATTATGTCCCCAACCTGCTTCCTTCCCCATATACATCTTCACCCTCCACGAGCCCCTTATTACTCCAAGAGACAAAGATAACTTCAAAAAAGAAAAATACTCAAATATTAGAAGAGTCAAAATTAACACAATGTAGTAGGGAAAGCACTTCTAGATTTCCATTGTAGCATTTTTTTTTTATTATTAGCTAACCTGAAAATCCTTCCACTGCAAAATATCTGGAAATGCTGTGTTAGATATAACATATTTTTCTGTACAATGCACAGCTGAGCTAGGAGGAAAGTAAGGAATATCTCCAAGGGTTAGTATGAGCATGAAACATAGCAGGCCTAAAGGGGTTATACAACTTGGGTACCATCCAGGCTTGAGGTTGAACATTGCAAGAATAGAAAATGAGGCGTTGGGCCTGGACCAAGCAGAGAACCAGAAAGATGACACCTGCATAAAGCTGAAATCATTGGAGGGAAAAAAGACCTTCTGGAAGTTTGTCTGTCTCCATCTTTTGCTGTTGTTAGGTGATGTGTCATTGAGTTGATTCCAACATATACTGACCATGTATACAACAGAATGAAACACTGCCCAGTCCTGCACCATCCTCACAATTGTTGCTATGTTTGTGCCTATTGTTAAAGTCACTGTGTCAATCCATCTCATTGAAGGTCTTCTTTTTTGGCTGACTCTCCACTTTACCAAGCATGATGTCCTTTTCCAGGAACCGGTCGCTCCCAATGCCTGTCCAAAGTATACGAGATGAAATCTCATCATCCTCCCTTCTAATTCCAAGACATATTTGTTCTTTGTGAGGTGGGCAAAATAATTCTTTTTTTCTCAGAATTTGTAGCCATGGATCTGTACTCATGTAGTTGTTGTTATTGTTAAGTGCCATTGAGTTAGTTCCAACTCATAGGGACCTTGTATATGGTTTCTGAGGAGTGGTTGGTGAGTTTGAACCACCGACCTTGTGGTTCAAACATACCTTACGTACAGTCAAGTGCTTATCCTACAGTGCCACACCAGGATTCCACTCATGTAGTATTGAAGCTCAGATTTACATTACCCACATGATCCAGGAATTCCCAAGCTGAGAAATCCACACAGATATTATTTAGCCTTAAGTCAAGATCTGGGTCCCCTGGCATCATGGCAGAAACAAGACAAATCTATCTAAAATATAAAAGTTCCTTCTCACAGATAAAGCTCTCCTAAACATGAATTAAAAAATCACAAATTTAAAAAACGCTTGTGAAAGCAATCCACAATAAGCAAGAATATGCAATCACCAAAAAAGCAGGATTAGATCTCCCAAGAATTTTAGGTAATTCAATAATCAGAGATGAAAAAATAAGGATGTTTAAAATTACAGCAGACAAAGAATCAGGAACTGAAACCATTAAAAAATAAGACAATGTGAAAAGAAGAGAAAGATTTAAGATACAATTTTTAGAAATGAAAATATATAGTAACTTCATTTAAATGTAATTAACAAAAAAAAAAACCTCAAATAAGAACACCAAACATTTCTGAAGAAAAATTTACTAGAAAGTAGATCTGAGGAAATTACCTCAAATGAAGCATACATTGACTGTTGTTGTTGTTAAGTGCCATCGAGTCATTTCGGACTCATAGAGACCCTGTAGAGGGTTTCTGAGGAGTAGCTGGTGGATTTGAACTGCCGACCTTTTGGTTCACAGTCCAGTGCTTATCCTATAGCACCACACCAGGAGTCCATACATAGATGTTGTTGTTGTTGTGTGCCGTGGAGTCAGTTCTAACTCATAGCAACCCTGTACAGGGTTTCCGAAGCTGTAAATCTTTGCGGGAGCAGAAAGCCT